CTCTCCCTCTCCCTCTCCCTCTCCCTCTCCCTCTCCCTCTCCCTCTCCCTCTCCCTCCCCTTTCGCTCTCCCTCCCTCTCTCTCTTTACTGCAGGAGGCCCTGTGCCTCTGCCCAAGAAAAGGCCACAAGCTTGTGCTCTGTGTGTTTACATAGGTCAAAGGTCTCCAGTTTTAAAGCCCAGCTCTGTCTTGTAAGCATGCCTTCTCCTGGAACTGCACAGTTATCTCCAGACTGCAACTAGGCTGGCTGCCCTCTTCCTGCACATGCACGAGAGCTCAGGGGCATTAAAGAAGGTCTCCCGGAAACTCTGCTATGGAAAGAACTAAATTGTTTTCCAATTAGTTCATACTCATGACTGATTTCCTGCGTCTGGTGGAACACACTGTTTAGTCTCCCAGACAGCCGCAGACCTGCCACCACGAGGGACTGTGCCACTTAACTGAATGGAAGAAGATAGACTGTGAATGTTTTCTAGTTCAGCAGCTCACTGCTAAAGCTGCTCCTGAGGGGAAGGAGAGGAAATTATCCACTGCACTATACGTGTGAAGCCTGAGCTTCAATCAGTAGCACTGAGGAGAGAAAAACAAAAACAAACAAACAAAACCTTACTCTGACTTCTCTTTTTATTCCAAGCCAGAATAAGGTGCTTATGAAAGTGTTCTTGTTCCCCTTTGCCCTTTAAGCCATCCGTCTGCCTCCCTAGCAATTACAATCAGGTGCTTAATATGTCCTGTAGGCTAGTGAGAACTTGAAATATTGTTTCCCGGTGAAAACTGTGTGCAATGTCTGTCACTGGAGAAGACACTTAGGTTCTATTATTTCCTCAGAGCTGGGACAACAGTGCATCCCCAGAGCTTGGCTACTCACTAAGATGGTGTATGAGCTGCAGCAAGGGAATTGGGTGGTTTACATAGTCAAGATTGGAAGAATTGATAAGTGGTTAAGGAGTTCAGCTACTTTTGTTTTGAAAGTCTTCTAGTACTACCAATGAGCCCCCCACCACACCTCACCCCTATGAGGTTGCTCTCTGTGTACCTCCTATGATCAGGATCACCCACAGATAGTCTGCAGCTTTACAAATTACTGGGCAACTCTATGATGAAGTGTCAGATCCTAAGAAAAAGACAAGAGTGAGGGTACTGGGAAGTACTTGAGTGAGAGATGAATACATGTCTATATTTTCTTCCAAATTCTAGGCTCAGGTTACTCTCCAGATGAAAGCTACAATGAAGTATATGCAGAAGAGGTCCCCGCTGCCCGTGCCCTGGACTACAGAGGTAATTCCTATTGTTTCTTAAGCTCAGGAAGGATGCTTTCTGCCCTCTAAGATCTGAACCTTCCCAGAAACATCCTTGCCCATGCTTACCTCATATGTGTCAGAACTGAGCTCAGAGAATCATCAAGATCTATGATTTTCTTTGCCATTGTTTTGATTTTGCTTTTGTTTGCTTTTAAGCATGACCCCAAGCCCTCTCGTTTTGTTCATTTCTTTCCTGAGACAGGGTATCATGCATCCCTAGACAGCTTTGAACTCAAGATCCTTCTGCCTCAGACTCCTCAGTGCTGACATTACAGGCGTGCACTTCCACACCCAGCAGGTGTGCTATGATTTCTAATTATAAATTTGGTCACTGACTTGCTGTGTGGTTTTACCTCCCTAGCCTGAAGGAATCACTAAGTATGGACTGAGTATCTGTTCCTGTGCAGGGTGAGCCTGTGGGAAATACACAGGATACAACAGGGATTTGCCCCCTCAAGGAGCTTGCACTCTGTTTGTTGTCAAGTGAGAATAAAATTAACATATGTAGAGCGACTAAGTGTGAAACTGTGGCAGCCATAAATGAACTAAAAGTATAAGAATTCAGGCAAGAGGTCATTCATGAAAGATGACATCCAGGATAGGCCTTGAAAACGGGCAGATTGTTATGAACTGGAAAAGGTTATAGACATTTGCCAAAGCAGATGGCCAAAGATATCAAGGTAAACCAAAATCTACTGCACTAAGAGACTAAGAAGAAATCCCACTAACTTGAAGGGATAGAATATGGGTGGAGTAGCAGAGAAGAGATTTGAATATAAAGAGTGAAGTAGGAAAGGTCCCATGACTTAGGAGTCCTTACACGGAAAGTCAGAAAGAATACTGTATAGTATTTCCTGAATTGATAGCAACTTAGGTCAGGTGATGTCTAATACGACTTTAATTTATGATTCTCTCTGCCTGTGCTTTCCTGGGCCCACAGAAGAGTTTATCTGTTATGCTACAAACGCTAAAGAGTAGTCATGTGATCTTTCACAGGGGAGTAACACTGTAAAAGATATTTCAGAACACTAGGTTATTTTGTTTAGAAAATAAGGGGTAGAAGGAGAGCCTGAGTTGGGGAGACTCGCCAAGAATCAGTTACAACAATATTATGTAGAAATATTTGAGTCTGGGAGCAAATAAATGTAGAGTAAGGATGGACCCCAGAGGGGCTAGATGTGTAGCCCAATAACACGGTGAATTCATGGAGTGTAGAAGGCTCTCCTGTGTTTGATTCCCAGTGCCACAGTAAAAGGATATATTCCACAGATGTTGTAAAGCAGATGATAAGATTGACTGCACTAATGCCTGGAAGAATCCATTCTGAATACCAAAGAGGACTGTTGAAAACCATTTCAGAAAGACAAACTTTAAAAAGTATGATAGGAGCCTTCGAGATGGCTCAACTGGTAAAAGATCCTGCTGCCAAGTCTGACAACCTGAGTCCAATCTCCAGCACCACAAGAGATAGGGAAACTCGGACACAACACACTTGTCAGAATACGTATGTCTGCCTGCATGCGCGCACACACACACACACACACACATATTTGGAAGGTTGTTGGGCTGATAGCTGAAAGAGAAAGTTTTGTGAATACCCAGCTTAAATAAAAAAGGCTCTCTGAAGAGAGAACCAAGGTCAAGCCTTGAAAGACATTGCTAGATATGTATAGAAGGGAAAGATACATCAGCGAAGGAAAGTCAGTGGTCAGTGTAGAAGACTGTCTATTGGGAATATTACAAAAGCTACAGATGAAAATTTAGAAATCTGGAAAGTGTATGGGATCATCTACATTAAGTATTGCAGAAAGATCAAACTGAAGGATAGGAAATATTTTAGTTGCCTAGGTGGTAAATGGTGACCTTTGAGAAAGCAGTCCCAGTAGAGAAGTGACCCTAACATGGGGTTCTTCTATCTTTCAAGCTATTCTTTCTTATCTTCTTTGTACTGCTAATGGTGCACAACTACTACCTCTGACTCTAACTTCCCTGCTGCCTGTTTCCCCATCCACCCACATATCTCCAGTTGACACACCACATCTTGAAAATGATAGTTCTCTCTCGATCTCCAAATCATATGGCCTTGAGCTTCAGTCTCCCTGGTCTCTCAAGCAGCAGTAAGTACATCCTTTTCTTCATGGTTTTCCTTCCTTGGATCCCATGGTAATTTCTCTGTTCTGGTCATAGTTGAAGCCAAGATAGGAAATGAGGTATGAATAGTGATCATAGAAAGAAGAAAACTGGATCTGAATTTTGGACATCCCTGACCTAGCTCCAGATCTCCAGGACTGCATCTCTAACACTGCTAGATACCCATTTAGAAATGTCTAAAAGAGAATTCTTTTGTCTTATCTGATAAAAAGTTCTACGGTAACCTGACTATCCTACTTCTACTTTCTGATAATCCTACCACCACCTTCTTAGTGACTCAGACCCCGAAGTACCCTAGTGTCATTTCTAATAACCCCCAGCACATTTAATTAACCCTCTTCTCTCATCATTTCTTACTAGTCATTCACCAAGACCTATCATTTCTTTAATACATGGGATTAGAATTATTATTACTTCATAATGGACAAAGGCTATTGTTTACTAATTAGATTCCCAGGCTCACATTTCTGCATTTCCCTAACACAGTGACCTAGTAAACCCATTTTAAAGCAAAGTCTGCCCCTGGGTCCTAGTTTGACCACTTTTTAAACCATTTCCCCACATGAAATTTGTGTTTTAGCTAGGGTGGTATACTGTTTTTTTCCCCAAAGTTGATTTAGTACATCAGGCCTTCCCTCGACAACTCTTTCTTTTTTTTTTTTTCTATTTAATGTATCCATTTATTTGAAGGGAGTGTGCCACAGCACACATGTGGATGTCAGAGAACAACTTGCCATGGAGTTAGTTCTCTCCTTCTACCACGTGGGTCCTGTGGATCAAACTCAGGTTGTCAGGCTTGTTTGCAAGTACATTTACCTCCTCAGACATCTTGCTGGCCCTCATTATTTAATTAAATATCTACTATGTACCTCTTCTGAAATTAATGTTTGGTTTGTTTGCTGAGATAACTCACTCATCTGGCCTTCATTATATACTGTTTATTGCTCTGAACAGAATGGTTATTTAACAAAAGGAATAATCCATATCACTCCCACAGAAGCATATGAAAAGCAGGTGGTGACTGTTAGCCTCCTGGGAACCCAAAATGAAAGAATAAGATACTAAAAATCACTAAATGTAAAAGGTATTTCTTTATGTGGTGTTGTGAATTAAACTCAGGGCCTTTTGCAAATGTTCTACCACCCAGCCATACCTCCAGTCCCAGAAGTACTTTTGAAGGGTTTGGCATCCTCATTACTACCCCTTACCTGCCTTACTGGTTACTTTTAAATGATCAAAAAGCTCTTTAAAAAACCTATATGCCACACAATAGCATTTGCCTTGGTGTCTAGTGTCCAGTAGATATCTTTGGAACTTTGTCTCCAGGCATAAAACAAACTAAACAAGGTTATCAATGATGCATGGAAAGGAGTGGCCAGGAAAAGTACAACCTGAGGTCCTGGCCTCCCTTGTAATCCCTTTTGTGCCTCATAACTATTTTCTCTGCAACTGTACCATTTAAAAACTTCCTGCAATTTAGAGGTGATATCTCCAAACGGAAGTACTGGAAATAGATGCCACAGTGTATTGATGTTTGAAGACAGTCGAGAGAGACAGTGGCTCCAACCCAGACACTGATTTAGAGAACACCATTCCAGAGAGTGGGCATTACATGTGTGGGACTCTATTTGCTTCTCGCCACAGCCACATGGGGCTGCTTTATTACCTCCCATTTTACAGACCAGTAAACTAAGCTCAGGGAAGGCTTACAGTGACAGAAGTTAACAAGGCAGAATGGACATTTAAAGCGAGGTCTGTCTGATCACAAATGCTTATTCCATGTCTTTCATTAAAAATATAATTGTTTTTTAAGCTAAAAAGAAGAGATAACAAGGAAAAGGGATAGTTTCCCTTAGTTTAGGGATAACTGTCCACATAGTTTGGTATTGTTTTCACAATCCTTACACTTTCTGCCATTCAATTATCAGGAGTCAGAAACCTTAGTCTGGAGGTGCAGCCTCAGTCTGCTGAGTGGCTAAGCAGCTTCCCCACAGCTTGTCTCAGTCCTTAGCAAACTAGTAACTCTCTGGGTTACCTTGAGTTTACCACAGAGAAGGTCTTTTCCTTGTTGTCAGACTTTCTTGTCCTTTTATACCCTAACAAAGAGAGCCCTTCTAGTTTCTTAACCCTGAACAAGCTATTATCATGTGCCACTCATAATACTAAGTGTTCTATAAATGTTATTCCATTTAAATAAAGTGCACACTTGGTATGTTGTGATATGCAAAGATTTCAGAAACACATTAATCACTTTAAAAATAGTAGTTAGAACTGTGCCTATAGGTCAGTGATAAAACATTTGCCCAGCATGCATAATGTCCTGGGTTTGATCCCAAGAACCACAAAATGTGGTGGGAATGTGTCAAAAAAAAAAAAACAATGAAAAGTTAAGACACTGTGCAAGGGTTTGCATTATATCTATAAACAAACTGTTACCATGGATTCTTTGGAACAGGAATTGAGCATCAGCATATGAGAAGGACCGAGAGGAGACATTTTACTATATAGTTAATTGCACTTTGGATTCAATATGAAACATGTGGATGGGTTAATAGATACTTCAAAATGGCAGCTGCAGTGACAAGTTTTATACGTAGAATAACCTCTTTTTAGAATAAACAAAGCTTGGATTCCATCCTGCCCCTTACTTCCCAAGGAACTCTGGGAAAGTTCATCTCTAAGGATGAAGACTGCATACCTCACAGGGCTACTGGGAGAACTATATGAAATGGATGTGAAAATGGAAGAAAGATGAGTAAAAAAATACACTGTGGCATCTATTTTCAGTACTTCCGTTTGGAGATACCACCTCTAAATTGCAGGAAGTTTTTTAAATGGTACAGTTGCAGAGAAAATAGTTATGGGACACAAAAGGGATTACAAGGGTGAGGACTCGATATGATTACATTTCCCATCAGACGTTTCACCATGAAGCATTTACCCATAGTCTTAGTTTCAGTTGCCACTGGCAGGTTTTATGTCCAGTTGTTCAGCTAGTTATGACTCTCTTGAACTGTATTGTTACTTCTTTTGTATTTCTTCATCTTATCCACATCAATGGCATGGAAAGCATTGTCTGTCATATGCCTCATTGCCTTCCACATAACCTATCTGTCATCATCCCTGTTCTACCAGTCAGGTGGCCCTACCCAGAAAGGAAATCAGGTCATTCTGGAATAACTTGTTCTTGAGTGCTCCTGCCTGCTCACAAGCCTCACCTTGAAATGTTCTAGAACATTGTGCTATCAGTCTCATCAGTGGCACCAGGCTATACTACCTAGAGACTACCTTCGCCCTTATTTGAAAAATAAGTTTGTGGTTTTGCCCTTTCCCTGTCTCCCAACCTTCTGTCCTTACGTCACAATTCTTCTGGACTAGCAATTAAAAAAATTCATACAAGTATATATTATGTGTTGAATGAATTGCTCCCTACCTCTGTACCCTCCCATTTCTCACCCCTCACTGTTTCCATTGGTCCCCTTTGTTCCCCTTAGATAGTTCCATTTGTACCTGCATGCCATAATTCACTACATCTGTATAAAGTCTAGGAGCCACAAATCTGAAAAAGGATGTGATACTTGTCTTTCTGAGACTAGGCCAACAAGCTTGAACTTTATTTACATTAGCTGGGTTTCTGTTTCTCTCTTTGTATTGATTCCGAGCTTTGTATCTCCGGCTTCCATTCTTGTTTCCTCTACCAGTTTCAATCTGGTGTGTAGTTTCCTTAACACAATATGGGAGACTAAAAGAACAGACGTGCTTTTAAAGTCCCAGGCTCCTATGTAAGTCCTTGTGATATGTGTTGTGGCTGTGTAATTACCAGCTCTGCACAAATCTAGCACTTAAGCAACATTATGTAATTTGGAGATGGTGTCTCCAGATGGCAGCCCCGCCACTACTGCTGCCTTAAACTAATAGTGGAAGCCCCAAGCATGGTACTGGTTGGAGAATAGGTTTTGCTCTGACATCTGTCTTTATTCTCCAGTTGCATGCAAACTGGGGGTCTAGCCTTTCATTGTTCCTTGACCTTCTGGCGGTAATGTGCTTTTGGTAAATGTTCCCCATATCCTTGTCCCTCTGATTTGAAAATCAAATAAGCTTATATGGTCCTTTTTGCCTTCCAAATTCTAGGCAAACAGATCTGTGCCATGCTGTGTGGGTAAACTTGTGCAGGCCATTATCCTGTTGTTTCTTGGTGTCCCTCTAAACTCTGAACCACATAGATAGAACAAGGAGTACTGGTGCACACCTGTAATCCCAGCACTCAGGAGATTCAAGCAGGTAATCGTGAGTTTGAGGCCAGCATGGACTATATAGCAGACACTATCTCAAAATATAAAAAAGAACATAGAACCAGTGGAAGAGTCAGTTATTTTGTTACAAGTAAGGCATCTTTATGATAGAACCACCCTGTAAACTTACGTGCTCTGTACTGACCTGGGATCAGACTTTCAGTCCTCAGCAGTCTGCTATGAGGTCACATTCCTGTTCTTTCTCTCATGTACATCTTCCATAGTTTTTTCCCATTATTTAAAATTTGCATACAGCAGAATGTACTTTCTGGTGTACAGTTGTATGAATTTTGACCAGTACATAGAGTAAAATAATCACAACCAGAAAACAAGAACAGTTTTATCTGCTCAGAAACATGTACCGTGCTGTCACATTGCAGTTCTCCTCTGTCTTTACCTCTGCTATTTGGCAACTACTGAGCTGTACTCTATGCCTATGGTATTGCCTGTCTTGTTTCGCTAGCTTCCTGAAATACACTTAGAATTCATCTGTGTTGTCGCCTGCATCAGCACATTATTCTTAAAACATCGTTATACAGAGATAAACCCAGTAGCTATGCTGTTCACACACAGAACCAATTTTTGACAATTGAGAATAGAGCTACTTCAAACATTAGGGTGGAAGATTGTGTGTGAACTCAGGTCTTCATTTCCATTGAGTAAACACCTTGAAATGAAGTCTCAGGGTCAACTTTCTTTACAAAGAAAGTATGTAACTTCTCGATAAACTACTATTTTTCAGTGTTCCACTGTTTTTCTATTTCCCCAAGCAATTTGTAGTTCTGGTTTCTCTCCATCTTCTTTAGCAATTTGTATTATCATTCCATACATTAGACATCCTCTGGGGTTTATTAATGATATTGCCCTGAGGTTTTGCTTTGCATTTCTTTATTGACTAATGGTGCAGAACATCTTTTCATATGTTTACTAATCATTCATAGATCATCTTTAATAATATGTCTCTTTGTGTCTTTTGCCCACATCTTTACTATTGAGTTTTGAAAATTCTTTCTATATTCTATATTCTATTCACTAGTCTTTTGTTGTGGGTGTGATATGTGGTTTACAAATATTTTCTCCCAGTTTTTGCATTTTCCTTGAGCTTATTCATAGAGCAAAAGTTTTTACCCTTGAAAAGGCCCAGTTTATTGATTTTCTTTAATAATTTATGATTTTGGAATCATTTCTAAGGCTTCTTTGCTTATCTTTGAATCCCAGAGATTTTCTAATTTTCCATAAGCTCTGTTCTTTTTGTTTTCCATGTAAATCTAACATCTATTTTGATGAAATCTTTTGAGTAAGGTGTGAGATTTAGGTTCTAGTTGTTTTCCTCCTCTGCCTCTTTTGCACCTGAAACTCCAATTTCTCTAGTGCCATTTATTTTGAAAAGTTGTCCATTGAATTATTTTTGCACCTTTGTCCAAAATTATATTGACTTACTTAAGTCTATTTCTGGGATCTCTATTCTGTTCCAATGAATTCTGTTTCTTCCCTTTTGACACCACCATACTGTTTTACCATTGCTGTTGTTTTGTTGATTTTATTTATTTTTTAAGTTGTGTTTTCATTACAACATTTCTCCCTTCCCTTTCTATATACCTCTTCCTCACTCGCCTTCAAATTTACGTCCTCTTTATCCATCAATTGTTATTGTATGCATACATACATTTGTATGTATACATGTGCATGCTCACGTGTGCGCGCACGCGCACACACACACACACACACAAACGCACACACACAAACGCACACACACACATTCCTAAATATAAGCCTATTTAGTCCATATAATGTTACTTGCATGCATGTTTTCAGGTCTGACCATTAAGGTACTAGACAACAAATCAGTGTATTCCTCCCTGAGGAGGGCTACCTCTCCTATTCCCAGCTTTACTGAGTTGCCTGTAGCTACCATTCGTGTAAGGTTGATTACTGTACTTCTAGTTTACTTTTCTTCTGCTACTACAGTTCCCCGATGGTGTTACACATTGAATATCCAGGATGGAGAAGCCACATGCTACTCACCAAGGGGAGGAAATTATCATAGTAGCCTAGGCACACGTTGTGAGCTCTCCTGTGACCGGGGCTTTCGACTGATTGGACGGAAGTCAGTGCAATGTTTGCCAAGCCGACGCTGGTCTGGAACTGCCTACTGCAGGCGTAAGTTGCATGTGAGCATATATATACCAATATGTATATGAGAGAGAAGTTAGCCTGCTGGCCATGGAAGGTATATACCTGGATGTTTTACGCTGTGAAAGTTGGTAACTTTCCATAAGCCTCCAACAGAACCTTTCCTCTTCCTGACATTGTGGTTTCTTTTTCTTTGTATGAGGATATTTAAGTCACAGCCAGCCACTCTGACTCATAGAACCCAGAAATGTGTGTGGGAGGATAAGACTTGGCCACGAGGAACTAACTGATCTAAGCCTGGGCCACCTCTTAGAGCTTCCAAGGATGTGTTCCAGACTCCTTCCCACTTGTGGTCAAGTGTCATAATCTTCCTAGCCTCCAGCCTTAGAGGTCTTGCCAGTAAAGCTGATGAGACATCTGCTAGTCTTCATTTTTTTTTGTTTTTGTTTTTGAGACAGAGTTTCTCTGTGTAGCCCTGGCTGTCCTGGAACTTACTCTGTAGACCAGGCTGGCCTCAAACTCAGAAATCTGCCTGCTTCTGCCTCCCAAGTGCTGGGATTAAAGGCATGCACCACCACTGGCCAGCTTCATTTTCTTTTTAAAGTAAGAAGAGTCCTCAATAGCATGATATGAGAACACAAATACACACATATCTTGAATTCTATCTCGCTTCATCTCCCAAACCCCTACCTCTTATTGAAACTCTTCAGCCTTTTGGCAGCAAGATTTGTCTTTCCATATGTGGTCAGCAAATACCATTTGAAGGACATCATGTGCACGGGGTGCTTCAGGAGCTCACTCAGCTCCTCAACTCCCTTTAGGTTGCTAATAGGCTAAGGGGATTGAAACTTTAAATGTGAGCACATGCATGTTGCACACCTGTATGCATATGTGCCGAGAATTCAGAGATAAATGAGCTTGGGGAAAAAAGAAGCTATGGAGGAGAGAAGAAGGTGGATGGCCAAAAAGAAGCCACTACCGTGAGCCTTCAAACCAGGATAAGTACATTGCTTTAGGACTTCGACCTTATCATTTCCAAAATGAATTTGAATTGAACTGACAAAGATATAAGGCTATGAATTATAAGCATAAAACTAGTCGAAAGCATAGAGATGTACCCATTTCTATGAGGTGGCTATTACAGTTGAGTCCTGTCTTAAGCTTGGACCTTCCTCATGATTGAATCTACTGTTTTCACTGTCGCATAATACTGAGTAAATGGATTCATCTGAAGAGACTTAGCTTTCTCCTTGGCTCTGGTTTCAAAGGGGTCATTTTTGGGTGTGATTTTTACATAACAAATGCAGAGGGAAAGAAAAGCAATGCGCTCATCTTCAAGCTTCATTTAGTCAAGAAGAAAAATGAACAAAGCCTATATAAAATTTTTCTTAAAAGTCCTAACATTCAAACTCTATGTAAGACTTAGATAAGCTAAAGAAATGTGTATGGCTTACTTCTCTCAAATGTCAGTTATCTCAAACAAGACTAACGATGGGCTCACAATTATTCTATGCTAACAGTCTTGAAAGCACACATGTTCCACTTTTATTAAATATCACCATGCCTTCTAGACAGTGGCCTGACTCAAGTAGACTGAAAGCTAGCTGACTGTGGCATCTAAGTGAGCCTTGGCTTAATGGTGTGTACAGCCAAGGAACTTTGAACTTGCTTTAGGGCATATAACAATTGAAGAAGACCCAGCATCTAAGAAGCAAGAAACAAAAATTAACCATTGCTGAGGCTTCCCTTAAACTGTCCCTGGGAGGTAAATGTAGTTTACTGAGTAAAAAATAAAAACAGTAAGACTCAGAGAAATGAAGCAGTGTCTCTTAAGTCACAGAGCAAGAGGTGAAGGTAGGAAGCAAACTGAGGTCTTATTTTCATAAGCATGCACTCAAGACAACTGATTTACTTTTTTAGACCTCATTCTCCATCCCACTCAGATTGCTGTTTTACTTTGTAATATGAAAATAAAAAAAGGCAATTTGAGGGAAAGGCAGTTCCACAAAAAATGTTAAGGGCAGGCTGGGTAAGATTTCTATATTCTCTGTTGAATATAAACATGCCCCCCCACACACACACACTGTGGTAGATACTCATGCATCCCCTCCAGATAGTCCCACAGGGTGCTGAACTTGCTGTTTGGTTCTCTCTTAGAAATGAGGTGCCATGTACTGCCATTCATCACTAGTGGCACCTACACCTGCACCAATGGAATGCTGCTTGACTCCCGCTGTGACTATAGCTGTTCTAGTGGCTACCACCTAGAAGGCGATCGCAGCCGCATCTGCATGGAAGATGGGCAATGGAGTGGAGGCGAGCCTGTATGTGTAGGTAAATGCTGGTAGCTCCAGTTTTTCGGTTGCTAAAGGTGATCTGGTATTATGTTCACAGAAGATGTGGAATTCTAATCACAGAATTGTTTTTTCACTATGACAATATAGAATGGGCATAGCATTATTGCCTATAGAACCAGGCTCCTTTCCCCTCTTTGCTAGAGAAAGGTGAACTTTTGTTCTTTTATCTACCCAGTGTTGTGTTATACTGCTTCCACAAGGGAAGGCAGGGGATCTATAAATCCACATTTGATTTTTAACCTTGGCAGACATAGATCCACCCAAGATTCGTTGTCCTCACTCTCGTGAGAAAATGGCAGAGCCAGAGAAACTAACTGCTCGAGTATACTGGGACCCACCCTTAGTGAAAGATTCTGCTGATGGTACCATCACCAGGTGAGCTTTAGTCATGCATGCCTCTTGTGTCCCCCCATAGATTCTCCCAGTTCCCCAGTGTGGTTCACTTCTTCCCTCTGAGTGTCCAGGCACTGCTGTACATGAAGTAGTGAACGATGGAGCACAGTCCTGATAGGGTGGGTCAGCAGGATCCTGGTCCAGCAGTGAATTCTGGGGGGTATGGGGGGAGAAGATCTTCTTCAAGGATTTCAGTGTTACAGCTCTTTTAGACAGCATTGAGTGAAACCGCTCTCTTAGACAGTATTCAATGAAACAGTTTGTATTCTTTATTTGGGGAGAACAAGGACTATATAAACCTTGGAAAGTGGGAAAGGGTTCTTAGAGTGAAGGTTTATTGGCTGAGGCTTAAGGTTCTGGGATGCCTCATTTGCATGGAGACACAATCCAGGAAGTTGAGTCTGTAACTTCACCAAGGATTAAGTGACATTTCTCCGGTAGAGTGTGGGGGCTGGGCCAACTGGATAAGGTAGAGAAAAGGAAGCCCTGCTGGGAAAGTGAGTTCTCCATTTTGCATGGAGCTCAGGGGAGCTACCTAGACATGGTAGACTATGGCCTTTAAATAGCAGAATCTTCCAACACCCCACTGTGCTCACACAATCAGACAATATAGGCTGAGCCTGGGGAAAAGATATGCCTCAGATCTCAATTCTAACTATCTTTCCCTTAGTTGTTCAGTAACTCCTTCACCCTGTCTCATGCAGGGTGACACTTCGGGGTCCAGAGCCTGGTTCTCACTTCCCTGAAGGAGAGCATGTGATTCGTTATACTGCCTATGACCGAGCCTACAACCGGGCCAGCTGCAAGTTCATTGTAAAAGTACAAGGTCAGAAGAAAAAAAAACAGCTCCTCATCCTATACACTGTTCAAATTCCTGCTCTGTCCTGACCTTAAGAAACCCACGACAGCTCTTTCCTCTTTTTTATATTGAGGAAAAGCCAACTTCATCAAACAGACTTATTAAGAAAACCTATATTACATCAGCATAAAATTGTTCTAGAAAGCTTGATTCTCCAACAAGACTTTATCGTCCTTCCAAATCTAGATACAATTCACAAATAGTCTACATCCATTTCTTTTCTTAGTATTCAAAATGATCAAGTCTAATGAGTTGTTTCCTTGCCGTGTCTATCTACAGAAATGATAATGTTGGTGGCCTGCTGGTCCCCTTCCTCTTTGCTTCTGTTTACATAGTTTCACTTCGTTTTTTGGTCATCTTTAAAATAATTCATGCTTATAAATAGACATTTGAAAAACAACAGTTATAGTAGCACATGCCTATAATTCTAGCAGGTGAGGCAGAAAGAGGAAAGCAAGTTCAAGGTTAGCCTGGGCTAAGTAGCAGGATGTAATCTCAAAACTAAAATTAAAACAACACATAAACAGAATACTTTACTACACTCATCTTCCAGGGCTCAATGTTGGTAACATCTTAGTATTTTCCTTCTAATCTTCTCTCTATACATACTTACAATATATAATTTAAGCTTACTCTTTCCACTTTTCATTAAAACACAAGTAATATCCCCATGTTCTTTGATACTGCTTCCAGAAATATTTTTAAGTACAACATAATAATTCTGCTCTAAATCTGTATCGTGATTGGTTTAAGCAGTCTGTCAATCATTGATTCATCTAACTTACACATTATTAAAAGTAAGTGTGACCAAGTGTGGTGGCACATACCTGTAAGATTAGCACTTGGGAAGCTAAGGCAGACAGATAGTGACTTTGGGGGTCTCTTGCCCCCCCCAGAGAATCCTCCTCAGCCTGTGCTATATTGATTGTGAGATCGGGTCCCATGAGAAGGAAAGTCATTCTGCAAGTTGGTCATATTTATACTGGTTATCTATAAAAGTCTACAAACATAGATGACAATATTCTCTTTTAAACATTTACAGTCATCTGATGACTGTGTGTATGTGTGCGTGAATGCTTGCGTGTGTGCGTGAGTGCCTGCACGCGTGTGTGCATATGTGTGTGTGTTTATAAAGACTAGGAATCTGGGTTTTGAATGTCAAATTTAATTCCTTAGTGAAGAAAATTGTATCTCCATCTGGCTACTGAAAACACAGAAAATCTATTCATTCAGATTACCTCAAGTCTCTTGTCCTAAAAAGCCTGGAGTGGACCCTAGAGCACTTCCTGACTATGAGAGATATATAATCCCTAACTTGACCTTCTCCCTGGCAGTGAGACGCTGTCCCATTCTGAAACCACCACAGCACGGCTACCTCACCTGCAGCTCAGCGGGGGACAACTATGGTGCCATCTGTGAATACCACTGTGATGGTGGTTATGAACGCCAGGGGACCCCATCCCGAGTCTGCCAGTCAAGTCGACAGTGGTCAGGATCACCACCTGTCTGTACTCGTGAGTGAAACTAGGAAAGGAGTGACTAGGTTATGGCTCAAAGGCACTCTGAAATAACTCCTTCCATGGTCTAGGGGTCAAATATCAATGCATGTGGTATGAGAATAGAGATTCTGTGATGGGTCTATTTTAGGGCAATAGATGATTCTTAATAATAGATTCTTTGCACATTCCCCCAAAGAATCCTTATACCTCAAAAAGAAGAGTATAAAATATTCAGGTTTCCTTCTGGAATTCACCTCAAGGAAGGGAGGGCAAGGATGTACAAGACCGGAATGCCTTCAGGGGTGAAGAAGAAGGGCATGTTCCGACTGACCGTGTGCTTCTGCCCTAGCTATGAAGATTAATGTCAACGTTAATTCAGCTGCTGGCCTCCTGGATCAGTTCTATGAGAAACAGCGACTCCTCATAGTCTCTGCTCCTGATCCCTCCAATCGATACTACAAAATGCAAATCTCTATGCTGCAGGTGGGACCTTCTGCCTCAGGATGGCTTAGGAAAAAGTTTACTCTGTGCAACACAAAACCTACATATTCCTACTTTTTTGTGGATAGTTTTTGATTCATTTTATCATTATGCATATTGGTCACATTTTAAAAAGTGTTTTTGTGGAAAAGTCAGTAAGTATGGTATGGTAGACATATCAAGGAACTGGGTGTAGGCTGGGAATGGAATGGAGAGAGGCTTGTTAAACTGCTATGGGCAAATGTAAATATTTAAGAATAACCTACAGGTGTGTTTCTAAGGAATTTCACTTGTATAATAAGTTCTGGGTAAGTACCACATAATGGCTGGCAATGCTTTTACACATATACAACTAATTCTCACAACAGCCCCTAAGATGTATTCAGTGACTTGCCCAAGAGGTAGAGCTGGGACTGAATTCAAGCTAGCTAGCTCCAGATCTGTGCTGTCTATCACTGCCAGTACCTAAGTGCTGTGATATTGAAAAGGAAAGCAAGGAAGTTGCATGGTGAATTTATCTGATGAGTGGGAGAGATGGGGAGGTAGGTTAAAGACTGATAAAAAAAGACCAGACTAGGTGGCTGTCAAGAATTGTTTCTCTTTTCTATTGCACGTTGCACAATACATTTCAGACAGCTAAGTAGAATAAAGAAAACATTTTTGTGAAGCCAGTACTTCAGGAATGTGAGGTAAGGGGTCATACAAACTTCATAGTATTGTGATCTCTTGTGTATGAGATTGTGTGATCATTGCAGAAACCTTTCCTTTCCCATGTTGCCTTAATGGAGTCACAGGGTTGGGGGGGGTTAGCGAAGCAGCCTAAGAACATAAATACAAAAGGCTATTCTATTTAATGTTCTTTCTCTCTCCCAGCAATCTACCTGTGGACTAGACCTGCGGCATGTGACCATTATTGAGCTGGTGGGACAGCCACCTCAGGAGGTGGGGCGCATCCGGGAACAACAGCTATCAGCAGGCATCATTGAGGAGCTCAGGTGCCAGCTTCAAGGCTGCAGGGCAGGGATAGGCAAGAAGCTGATACAGGACACTAGCAACCAAGAGCAAGGCTGAGCAGACAGACTTGACTTAGTGTCTTGGAGGCATTTCTTGTGTTTGAACCACAATAGCTAGATAAGTACAGTGATTCTCAGTTCTAAAGGAACTAAACAGAGCCTTAAAATACACACAGCCAGGGTCTGCCTCAAAGCACAGGTATGGGCTTTCATAAAGGTACTTCAGGTGACTTTGAAGAGCCACAACTGAGAGAGACACAAATGATTCCACTCCAGACTAGAATCGTTAGGAAGCTTCTGATCTCTGCCTATGAGCTCCTCTGTTTACTTCCAGTCTCCAAAGGAGAAAAAAGCATCTTTGGTCACTGAAATCTGAACCATATCTATCTGGAAAGAGAAAGGTTATAGGCAACAGGTGGTAGAAGTTGACTTTTCTCATTATCTATCCATTATCAGCCTTACAGTTCCCCCAGTTATGCTCAGGTCCAATAAAGGCATCAGTGTTCTCTGAGAAATAATACCTACCTCTAGGATTCAGTTTCAATGGGGACAGAACAATTCAGGGCAGTTAAAGAGACTAAGAAATAGTGAGGACCGAGATTTGCAGCTACAGATGGAAGAGTTAAACATGATTTGCTAATCAACGTTATGGCTCCTAGGTACAAAACATGCATGCAAGTCATAGGTTCTCCAATTACATGCCTCCTGGAGTTGCTCCGTGCAGGCTGCATGCAGTAGGCAATATTCTTGCTTTAAGTGGAAAACACAGTGAAGAAATAGCAGGCTAGGGTTAGGAGGGAAAGCTAAACATGAAAGGCTACCAGGACTAGGAATGCAGAAGAAAATAAGCAAAAAGGATTTGAAATGGGGGTCGGGGTGGGGGGGGGCAGGGGGTTGGCAGGACAGTGGAACAAGGAGGAGCAGAGCTATAAAAGAGCAGAGGGGAGTAGTAAAGTCTTGTGGAACTTGGACCACAGTCTCATACATCTCTGAACTGTTCTGTCTAGGCAATTCCAGCGCCTCACTCGATCCTACTTCAACATGGTGTTAATTGACAAGCAAGGTATTGACCGGGAACGCTACATGGAACCTGTCACCCCTGAGGAAATCTTCACATTCATTGATGACTACCTGCTGAGCAACCAGGAGCTGGCACGTAGACTTGAGCAGAGGGACATATGCGAGTGACCTTGAGCCAGGGTGTGGCTGAGGCAACTGTCCTAGGAAGCTTAATCTGAGGAGGAAATGTTTTCCCACTGTTGGGAGCAGCCCTCGGGTGGGGGTGAGGTTTGCTGGATCTAGGATCGTTCCAGGCAACATTTGAGGGCAGAATATTCATTTCCCTAAGCCAGTCTCCACTTCATGTAGCACTGGAGGAGCCTATGAAAGTAAGTAGGGACTGAGGACATGCCCTGGGCAGTGAGTTGTAGACAGAAGGTCTTCTTTCCCTGACTGGAGGCTCTACCTAGCTTTCCAAAGTCTTTCAGATAAGTAAATCCTAAATTCATTCCTTAACTGTGTTGTAAATTGTTCATCTTCTCTATGGTAACAGCAGAGGGCAGCATTGAAACAGACAAGCAGGACACTTTGAACAAGTATAAATAGATTTCTTTCAAAGTTAATTGTGTTAGGAGCAGGAGAGGGGGGACTAGGATCTACAAAACATTCTTGAAGCTGTTTGTCATTTCCCTTTCCAGGATGCTAGGCTTAAAAACAATGGTCCTTGAAACCATTTCATCATCAAGAGTTAGAAAAACATTTTCTCCAGAGGGATTTTGGGAAGCATCATCTAGCCACAGCAGGATGTTCCCTCCTAGATGTTCCAACTAGCTTGTGGGCAAGAACTTCTGCTAAGGTGTTTTAGTACCCTGGTGATGGCCCTTCTTTAGAGGATTCTGCAGTCTGTGAACAAGATTACCTCTAAGAATTGAGGAGATGGCTCAGCTGGTGAATTGCTTGCCATCAAGCATTGACACCTGAGTTTGATCCCCAGAACTCATATAAAAAAAGCCAGATGTGGTGGTGTGCACTTGGAATCCCAGCAGAGAGGTAGAGATAAGCAGATCTATGGGAATCACTGCTCAGCAAGCCGAGTCGAATGGTGAGTACCAGGTCATGTAAGAAATGCTATCTCAAAAAACATGGTAAATGGCTTAAGAAACAAAACCCAAGACTGACCTATGATCTCTACACACAGGTACACATATGTGCGTGCACAGGTACACACGCATGTGCACACACACACACCCACCACATCACCAAACATAGCAGGAAAACAAAATAGATAACTTCATGCATTAACTTCCTCTGATTACCCACTTTTAAGAAAAGAGCACAGCACAGGTTGCTACAGTAGGTCAGGTGAGGAGCAAGGCTTGAAAGTAAACTGTGAGGTTGGGCTTTGGGGAAATGGAAAAACACAGATCCCTGCTCTTCTTCTCTTCCTTCCTTTCTTTCTTTGCTATGCACCCTTTGTCCCTCCAACTCCCTGCCTTGTATGCTGGCCGCTAAAGCCAGGATCTTCAGAATGCCAAGCACTGCTGCTGGGAGCACTTCTGGTGTCGCACAGAGTGTTTCACTAGTGTTTGAAACAAAACCTTCTTCCCTTGCTTTTGAGAACAGTCTATTATTTAGCGGTGGGTGTCACAGTCATGGTAAAGACTCAGATGCCCTGTTCCTTCAGCTTTTTCCTGGGCATCCTTGGGCAACTAGAGATAGCAAACAGGCTGGCTGGGGAGGCAGAGATAACAATACTCTAGCACCTACTATGTGTCAGGAGTCATTATGAAAACATTGCAAACAAGGAAAACTACTGATTAAGTCAGAAGTCTTCACAAGAGCCCTAAGAAATAGGTGCTGCTATTAGCTCCTATTCACTGGTGAAGGATTGAATCCCAGAGAGGCTAGGCAATATGCTAAGACCCTAACAACCAGTAAGTGGTGGTCAGGTATAAACAACAGCAACCAAGCTCCACTGTGCCATCTGAGGAGGAAGGAGCAAAATGAAAGGCTCTCAGCCCAGGAAAATTCTTCCTTAAATCAGAGTGGTAAGACATAACTCACAAACCCGCAGCTTATGCACAGAGGCAGCAGTGAATCAGAGAGAAGCAATTTTAACTGGGGTTTTAATGGAAGTCTCGGTTTTAAGAGGCAAGGCAAGAAGTCAGCCAGTTGCCCAGTGGAGTAGAACATGGAAGCAATGATCAAACCTGGAAGAAGAGGGAAAGGCCCTTCTCTTTCATCTCTTGAGAGAAACACTGGAACTTTGAAAAGCTAAAGGCAAATCATAGGCAGAAGGGGAAATACGGTGAGTTGATGTAGGAAATGTCTGTTCAGACAAGGTTTGTGATTCCAAAGGCAAAGATGGAGCCTTTGGAAAGATAAACTTTCTCCTTGTCTTTACCCTAGTGCTTCAACTGGCAAGTCAGGACATGCTAGTAGATCAAAGGCCCAGAAGATAACACTGGGCCCAACTGCCTCCCACATAAAGTGCCCAGCTGGGCCTGACCCTTGCTCGGAAATGTTCTAAGCAAGTGAACCTTAGCACAACTTGGGAGGGGGTTGTTTTGTTTCATTTTGAGTAACCAAATCCTTCTTGACTTCCTTAGGTGGGTTACACCTTAACCTCCTTGGTAGTCCTTTATAGATTATGACTTAAGAAATCCAAGTGGAGAAGAGAGACAGGAGTAGAGTCAGGGCCACGGCCAGTCAGACACAAGGGAACTGGCACAAGTACCATTTAATTCCTTCCTATGAAGCTCCCTTTTCCCCTCCCCTCTCCTCCTGTTCTCTTCTCTGTCCCTCTATCCCATTTTTGACACTCCCCTCTTTCTTGTTCCCTCTCTTCTAATCTCTCTCTTTTTTAAAGATTTATTTAATTTTATTTTATATGTATTGGTATATTGATTGCACGTATGTCTGTGTGAGGGTGTCAGATCCCCTGCAATGGGAGTCATAGACAGTTGTAAGCTGCCATGTGGTTGCTGGGAATTGAACTCAGGACCTCTGGAAGAGCAGTCAGTGCTCTTAACCACTGAGCCATCTCTCCAGCCCCCTAATCTCTCTCACACATACACTGAAACACAAGCTGGGTTGTCACTGTGATGGCTTGGTGATTCCAAAGCACTTTTATTGTTTTCCTTTGTAAATTAATTCCATTTCTCTATGGTATTTTGAAGACACGAGCCATCCTTTTCCTTAATGCTTTGCCCTTAACATACATCCTTCTCACAGGAAGCAATCTGGTAGAATTAGAGCTGAATTCAAAATGTAATACTATCACATGACAAGGAGCTCATGTTTCTTTGGCTGCAAGAAGAAGTTTCCTACTTCATATGGTGTTGGAAAGAGTCAAGCAATATTATGGCAAATCTTGTGTACAAGATGCATTTTGTGTTTGCATAGAGGCCAAGAATCACTTGAGCTAGAAACTGGGGGCCTTATTTCAAAGATGAGTTGTCTACCATCTATGATTTAGCTCTCAAATCTAAAAAATGGAGAGATGAGGGAAAATATCAACCTCCCAGAGAAACTGAATAACCTAAGAAAGAAGTGTTGGTGGCATGGAGTGTGTCGTCTAAGTGACAGTGGCAACACTAAGTCAGGACATCAGAGACGAAAGCATCTGCAGCACTCATAAATGTAAACACTCAGGTGAGAAAGCTTTATTGAAACACACATGCATATTAAAGTAGAATACCAAAGAACAAGTTTGAGCCTGGGCTCTCAGGTATGTTTTCATTACAGGATCAGTCCATACTGAACAGTTCTTTGAAAAACATTCTATGCAATTTACACCCATAATCTTAACCACTCTAGCTGCCTGCAATCCAGTGACCTTACAGGAATGTCAACTTGCAGCTGGATCCATTGACAGGCATTTCTTCTATGTTCCCGTCACCTTCCACACACATCTTTCTATAGATAGACTGCTATGAATGAAAAGTTCAGTTCAGAAGAATGAGTAGCAGGAAATGAAAGCTCACTAGAGCCTCTTTTAAGTCTCAAAACACACTATTCCCATGTTACACTCAGGTCAAGTTTAGGAAACAACCAAAGACAGGAACTGAAATTATATTGGGTGAAAAGTTAGAATAGCTGGGTGATTCCATCCACATTTTCATGGGGTGATAATAGTCCCCAACTTGGGGGAGCACTGTGTCAGTTTAGACAATCTTTGGCTCTTGCAGCTGAAACAGAGGTACACAGACTATGTTCTATGTAGCAGCACACCCCAGACACAAACTTAGAGAAAGCTATAATACATGAGAGGGAACATACCTCATCTTCCATGAAGGAAATAAGGATATCTCTCTCCCAACAACTACTGTAACAGTTTAAAACACAGAACTCAGCACAGGCTTTGAAAAACTTTATTCAGAGTCACTTGGACCTTATGGGATCAGCTAGTAGGTCTCACGGGACATGTTAATGTCTCAGTGAAAAGGCCATTATCTAATTAAAGTGATTTTTCTAAAGTGACTCCATTATAAGAGCTCCCCAAAGGTCTCAGAAGGAGCTGGGGAATTTTCATTGCATTTCAAAGAAAAGCACTATACTCAAGCAAGGTGGAAATTGCTTAAAACAGGAAAAGTTAAAAGGCAAGTTCTAGAAGTGTATCAAGGTAGATGATGAGATAAAATACAAATTGGAGAGGAAGGACTGGTCGTTCACCCCTCTCCCATAGTCTAATAATATCTTTAACAACCAAACTTGACTTCTAAGAGCTTTGACCTTTGATCAGGCATACCTAGACTCACAAATTAGAGAGAGTGCTAAAAGCAGCCACACTTCCAGGGAAAGTGTGAGCAAAGATAGCAAGATAGAAGGTAGAGAGTTGTTGTAATACAGTTTTTAAAGTTAATTAAACCACAGAAAGAGGCAACTATGTACTCAGAAAATATACTAGACTATATATAAATAAAAACCATTTGAAAGGGCCCTTATTCTTGGGCTGCTTTAATAGAAGGAACAAGCCTGTGTCATTCTAGCTAGCAAAATAAGATCTGCAGAAATACATGTTTACACACACACAAACACACACATACACACACACATTAAGTTAGAAATCTTTCCTTGTGGTTGCTTTGCTTTCTTTTGAATTGGACTGACCAGGGCTGCACCTGCAGATGAGGATAGGAACTCATACACCCAGCTTCTGCTTGACCATTGAAGAACGTAGCTGCAGAGTTCCTTCTGCCCAAGACCCTGGGTACTGTCGCATCTTCTGCCACAGGCTTACTTCTTCACCAGTCGAATCCATCCAGTCCACCACTTCGCCATTACTGATCCCTGAGGGAAAACACCAGAGGAGACTGAACAGAGTCCCACCACTGAGCCCAGCAGTAAGGATTGGTTATATGGCAAAGGAATCCAACCCAAAAAAGACATTAGGAACAGCAAGCTGGCAAGCTGAGTCTACAAATACATGTGCTTCTGAGACAATAATGAGAGTGCAGGTTGACAAAATGGGACTTGAAATGACATAATGTCAATAGAGGCTTGTTGCTTAGTGA